ACAGCTTTCACAAAACCATTAAGTTCACAGCCGAATACTCCACGGAGAACGTGTCCTTCCTAGACACCGTGGTCAGCTTTGAACACCACACAAAAAAACTCACGTTTAATCTGTACTGTAAACCGACAGACACACATTCATACTTATCTTTCACTTCATGCCACCCACCTCATATTAAACACAAGGGACCATACAGTCAATTCCTCCAACTAAAACGAATCTGCTCCACTCCAGCGGATTATGCAAAACATGCAGACAACTTGGTAAACTATTATCTCAAACGGGGCTACCCACGAGATATAATCGAATCTAACCGAAAGAAAGCCGACAATATTCAGAGGAAAACTCTCCTAACCATAAAAACCACACCGAAGGATAACAAACGTCCGGTTTTCATGACGGACTACAATCCAACATCGGTCCATATCAGCAAGATCATCAGAAATAACTGGCACATCCTCCACAGCTCGAACGATTGCCAGACTATTTTCCCACACCCTTGCTTAACAGCCTTCAGACGAAATCCGTCCCTCAAAGATCTTCTAACCTCAGCCACTATAAAGGACCCTAAACCCTGGCCACAAGTTAGCGGGAAAAGTTACAATTTTCTAGAATCCACTTGTAACTATCCCCAATGCAATTACTGTAACACGCTTAGAGGAAAGAAAACCTTTCACTCCAGCAAAACTGGCAAATCTTACAATTGCAACAGCAATTACACTTGCCATAGCCGAAACGTGATCTACCTGCTTACTTGCAATCTCTGTCTCAGTCAGTATGTAGGAGAAACAAAAAGATTGTTTAGAATTAGACTTAAAGAACACTATGTTGATATCACCCATAAGAGAGACACCCCAGTTGCCTCTCACTTCCACCTACCGAGCCATTCTAGTCGAAACCTTGACTACCAAATAATTAAACAATTGGGTACCAATCCTGACCTACAAAAATCTACCACCAATAGACGCGCCATTGAACTTCATTGGATCATTAGATTGAAAACTTTCCAACCACACGGTATCAATGACAAAATCTGAACTTAGGCATCTCCCTATTTTTTTCTTTTGTTTACAACCCCTCCACTGGGTGTACCAACTTTGGATTTTTTAGCCTACCAACCCTCTCACGGGAGGTTCTTTTCTAACCCCCCATCTTCTTTATGGGGGTTCGTCTTTAACCTCCACCCTTTCTTTTCCTTATATACTCCTTAACGTATATGCCGCCCCACTTTACGTCACAATGACCTACTTTACTTCATAACAATCGTTTCCTTACAACCATAATGGAAGCTTGTGAAGAATGCGGAAATTTTTTTCTCCAAACGATGCCATGTCCTGCGACACGCCAGGGAACGACACCATCCCATTTTCTTCAGATGTATCAATTGCGGGAAGGATTTCCGTAGGAAGGAATACCGAACTAAACACAAATGCAAAGGCAACCTTCCTAATGATGAGGGAAACCAGTCCACCAAGACAGATACCCTCCAGACAGCCATACAAGAAACCATCGGGGAGCTCGCACAAGGGCCACCGGGCGCCTCTTTTTCGACTGTATCAATTGCGGGAAGGATTTCCGTAGGAAGGAATACCGAACTAAACACAAATGCAAAGGCAACCTTCCTAATGATGAGGGAAACCAGTCCACCAAGACAGATACCCTCCAGACAGCCATACAAGAAACCATCGGGGAGCTCGCACAAGGGCCACCGGGCGCCTCTTTTTCGACTGCCACAGTCGCCGCCCAAGGGCCTCCGAGTATTTCCTTTTCGACTACCACAGTCGTCACCACAGGATTCCCACCAGAAAGAATCTCTTACACTCCTAGCCGTAGCAATAGCTCTACGTATATCAACGGCGCTCCGTTCCCAACCTTCAGCCACTGGGATTTCCACACATCCCCAAACCAAATCGGAGGGGAAAACTGGACCACCTTAGCCACAAGCAGGAGCAACATCTGGAACAACCGTAACCAGTACCTAGATTCCCGTTTCTGGATCCCGATCCAACCAAGCCTAGAGGACGCCTTTCTAGAGGACCCCCTCCTCTCCACCCAGCTTTCCGCCAGTGATCTGTTTAACTCTCAATTTTTATCTGGCTTGGGCCTTAATTAAACTTTTTATTAGACCTTACTTTCTTGTTGTCTTTCCTAGTCCTACCACCCCCCTTCTGCGGTCTTCCTTAGACCCTTTCCCTTTCCCGTCTCTCCCCATACACACACCCCTTTTATTTTTGCATGCGGTTTTTTCTTGCCCCCTACTCTACTTAGTTTATTTGGGAATACTCATATCTGTATACCCCGGTCACACACCAACCCCGGTAAACCCCGCCAAAAATAATCTCTCATTAACCCCGGTCAATTCAAATGTTTCAGCCGGGTATACCTGATATACCAATGCTCGCGATGAAACAAAATAAGAGAACTATCAAGTGCTAATCGGAGTCTCAACAATCGCAGATCAATTAAATAAAACAAAAGACAACTATCAGTCTCACATAAAACGAAAAACACAAACAGCTGTTACTATATATCACATATATGTGGGTATCAATAAACCTAACCCTAACCCTAATAATAGATATCGGTGGACTGATGAACCCTAACCTAACCCAGGCCTAACCCTAATATAAATATCGGTGGACTAATGAACCCTAACCCAACCCTAATAACAGATTTTTATCGTAAATAAAATTACCGGTAATAGAATCCTCTGTAACATTCTGGTAATACGTGATTTAAATTGTAGGAGGTGTGTGTGTGTGTGTGTGTGTGTGGGGGGGTAGGTGCTATTCAACGGCACTTATTTTGTGTGAAAATCCAGATTGGTCGCGGCCCAATTGTAATTGTTCTTTAATAATGAGGTCAACTGATTATTTACTGACAATTCAGAATAAAAGTATTGTCTACAAGACTACGACATGGTAACAATTCGTTGTTAAAGGGGCTTCTATTATAGTCAATTATCAATTCCTTTTGATGGCACGTGTGAATTCACGTAATATGGAAACTTGACTGACAGTATGCATTGACTCAGACTCTTTGGTGCCGAAATGAAAAGGTCATCACGGTATTATCCGACTGATACGTGTTAATGTACATGTGTTCAGCAAGGTTGACGGTGACTTCTGGCAATGTGTGCTTAAAAACAGGAGATGAGCATTTAATTCATTTGTGATTTAAATCCCAAGATATATTACTTCAGGTGTTATTTACCGATTTACAATGCATTGTGTAACTTATTTGTCAAAATGGGAATAGATATTTTAATGGCCAAAACTTTCGCCCACGGTAAGACCAGCATCTAATCTTTGAAATTTTCGTAATTTGAATGAGTTTGAAAGTCTTAGAAATGTCGAACATATTATGTATCGGTACAGCCATAACTCTTATTTATTTTATTATTTAAAAGCCTGCCAATGTTTGATAATTGATATTTTTCAATATCAGTCAGTAAAATCTGCGTGTCTGACCGTGTTAAATTAACAATCTTTTTTTGCATGCCATGTTAGCTGATATTCGACTACAATATGACTGCAGTGCAATCGCACGATAAATAAACCTATTTCAAACCAGCTACGGATGTGCTGACTGTACATGTGTGGAAAGTCTGACTTCTTAAAATTCGCGGTGGATTTGTCAAGCTAATTTCTGCGGGGGTTTAAAATAATCGCGGAGGTCGGCGGTTTACTCATATTTGCGGAGGAAATTTAGAGTGGAATTTTGAGCGTGGTCAGAGCGAATTGATTAATTGGCGCCCACGATTTTTCATTTCCGCCTAGGCCCGACTACGTGGAATTTAGTACTTCCGCCAGACTTGTACTGCATTATCTGGGATGTGATTTACTGATTTCCAAATGTATAATTACCTGGGACGTGATTTACCTATTTTTGATATATTTGTCAATGGCGGAATTACTATTTTGAATGGATAATAATACTACGACCATGGTAAGGTGCCTTTTTTTAATATTCACCATTATTATTTGCACTTCATATGCGAGAAATGGGGTTTAACGTCCACTCGACACAAACTAGGTCATTTCGGGACTAACATATGGTTTAATTTTATTTCAATAATTCGCTTGCGCGTAGGGGTCTTTAGCAGTGGGAGGAAACCGTAGGACCCGGAGAAAACCCACGAGGTTGGACCACTTCATATGCAAATAATCGTAATCAAAGTGAACCGATCGGATAGACAGCTCGAGGGAAAATAAACGATTCATCTAATAATTCAACACAGTAGATAAATACGCATCTCGGGAAATTGAACTACTCATGATAAGTGAACGGTCGGCCATTTCTAAACCCCTCTCGGAGAAATTAAACGCTGTACCATTAAATTAAGCCATAGTACTAATTAAACTATTTTTGTAATTTTCAAACGATTATTATCAATTATCAAACGATGTTTTGAAATTAAACTATATACATAGTTTTTAGCGCTATAACCCCCATTATAAACGATACCAGTTTCACAGTGACACACTTTTAGACTTTGCGTACAAGGAGCGGCCATTTTGTCTTGCAGTTTCGGTAGGATTTTCAAACGATTATTATCAATTATCAAACGATGTTTTGAAATTAAACTATATACATAGTTTTTAGCGCTATAATCCCCATTATAAACGATACCAGTTTCACAGTGAACACTTTTAGACTCGGTAGGATTTGTATGAAATTCAAACTTAACCTTCACTGAAGAGTAACGGTGATATATTTAAACAGTTTTTACAATTGGATCCAAATTTATGACCTCTAGAGTGTCCGCAAGCTCAAAATATGACTTTTCGGACAATCAGGGACCATAATCCATGAGTTACATGCTGATACATGCCAATTTCGAAAGGAACTGACATCTTTGCGAGATACACACCTATATTTCAAGTTTCATTAAAATCGAATAAAAACTGACCTGTAGAGTGTCCACAATCAAATTGTGAACGGACAGACAGACGGAGGCGACGACAATATACGTCCACAGGACATAAGTTTAAAAAATTTCATAGGACTATTGATAAAATGTATCTTTAAAACATTAATAAAGACTTACTGTCAAAAACATGTATTAAATAATCAATATCTCAAATATTTTATTAGAAAATTTAATTTTACAACAGTGTGTTCTTAAATTCCATCTATAGATCTTACCCTTAGCATCTATTGTAGTAACATCAAGAGGAGCAGGTCCAGATTCTGAAGCATCAACAACAAAAGAGGCAGGTTCTCCAGCTATCACCCCCTGGGGGTTCAAACCAGGTCCATAACATTTCACTTTGTTGGCATCAACAGGGTTTTGGATTCTAACTAAGAATGGACTACCTGTAAATCAATTGGGTATAGTAATAGTATGGCATTGATCTCTCCGTGTAATGCATAAATGTAAACAATAAGATTGTAAAAGCTGTCTATAGAATATTTCCTTCAACTAAAGAACATAAGATTTATTCTTATACTAATTACACAGAAAGAAAGTAATAAAAATACAACTTTTTATATTCTCCTAGACGCTGAACAATGAACAAATGATTGCCATACAAGATAAGCCCACATTTTGCAAGAGATGGACAGAGAATGATATGATTTTTTGTACAATCAAGGGCCATAATCCAGGAATATATGGTCTGATATGCGCAAATATCGAAAGGAACCAAGATCTTTGGGTTATAAGTATACATTTCAAGTTGTGACTTCTAGCGGGCCATTTTGTCGGACGGACTTTCATGAAATTCAAACTCGACCTTCATTATATATTTAAACGTTTTTTTAAAATCGGATAAAAATTGTGACCTCTAGAGATCCACAAGCTAAACATCAGGGGCCATAATCCAGGAAGTTATGGTCTGATATGTGCGAATATCCAAAGGAACTGAGATCTTTGGGATATAAACACATTTTCGAGAGATGGATAGAGAACAAGCTAAAACGAAAGTGATTTTTCCTACAATCAAGGGCCATAATTCAGGAAATTACAATTCGATTTGCGCAAATATCAAAAGGAACCGAGATCTTTGGGTTATAAACTTACATTTCAAGTTTCAACAAAATCGGATAAAAAATTGTGACCTCTATAGGGTCCACAACCTTGATATACCATATTTTTACGCTATTTGAGAACGAAGGGCGGCCATTTTGTCTGTCAGTTTTGGGCCGATTTTCACGAAATTCGAACTCAGTCGTCCTTAGGGTGTAAGGGTGATATAATAATACGTTTTTTTAAATCGGATAAAATTATGACCTCTATAGGGTCAACAAGCTAAAAACGTGATTTTTGGTACCATAATTCAGGAATTTACGTTTCGATATGCACGAATATCGAAAGGAACCGAGATCTTTGGGTTATAAGCATACATTTCAAGCTTAAACCAAATCGGATAAAAATTGTGACCTCTACAGTGTTCACAAGCTAAAAATGTGATTTTTCGTACAATCAGGGGCCATAATCCATGAAGTTACAGTCTGATACATGCCAATATCGAAAGGAACCGAGATCTTAGGGTGATAAACCTATATTTCAAGTTTCATTGAAATCGGATAAAAATTGTGACCTGTAGACTGTTCACAAACAATTGTGGACGGACGGACAAGGGCGACGACAATATACATCCACATGAAAATGTGGATGTATAAAAAATTGGACAAAAATTGTAACCTCTAGCGGGTCCACAACCTAGGTATTACATACTTTTACACTATTTGCTTTCAAGGAGCGGCCATTTTGTTGGGCAGTTTCGATCCGATTTTTTCTAAATTCGAACTCAATCATCATCAGGGTGTAATGATATATTTAATGCTAAAATCAGGGGCCATAATTCAGGAAGTTACAGTCCAATATGTGCAAATATCAACAGGAACCACGTTCTTTGGGATATAAACATACATTGAAAGTTTCATTAAAATTGGATAAAAATTGTGACCTCTAGCGGGTCCACAACCTTGATATTACAAACATTTACCACTATTTGCGTACGAAATTCATACTCAACCATCATTACGGTTTAATGGTGATATATTGTGACCTCTAGAGGGACCACACGGTAAAAACGTGCTTTTTCATTCAATTTGGGGCCATAATCCAGGAAGTTACGATCCGATATGCGCGAATATCGAAAGGAACCAAGATCTTTTTTATAAACATATATTTCAGGTTTCACCTAAATCGGATAAAAATTGTGACCTCTAGAGTGTCCACAAGCTAAAAATATGATTTTGGTACAATCAGGAGCCATAATCCATGAAGTCTCAATCAGATGCATGCCAATATCAAAAGGAACCGAGATCTTTGCGAGATTAACCTATATTTCAAGTTTCATCAAAATTGGATAGGAATTGTGACCTGTAGAGGGTCCACAAACAAATAGTGGACGAACGTCAGGACAGGGGCGACAACAATATCACCACAAGAAATAAAACCAAGTACGAACAATCCAAACCATTAGACAAAATTCGAAGTCCTAAAAGAACGGTGTGGGCGTATAAAAAAGCAAAGAGAAAGTGAATATTAGTATAATAATTACCAGGTATATCTTGATCAGCGTATTTAACATTAATAGAATAATCTCCTGCTTTAATAGGTTTATATTCTACATGACAGGTACCATCTCTATTATCTTTACAATTCATCTGTGCTTCTACAGGACCTTCTATAGCTAAACCTAAACCCCCTTTACCAGCACCTTTCATATCTACTGTAAACTCAGCATTCTGGTTAGTAAAACCACCTTGTAGACCTAATTAAATACCCAAATTGATTTATATTTTCGAAAAAAAATTAACATCAAATCTTACATTGTCATTAAAACCTTTTTTTGTATAATTATAAGACAAAATGTTAAGAGTCTTGTATTCAACTAACAACATCACATTTAGCCAGTGAAAAGATGCTTTCAATTTATCAATAATGGTCTTAGCCATTAATTAGATTGTAATACAAATGTAAAGAAAGCAGGTCATGAATTAAATGCTGTACCTGGACCATAAGCTTTAACATGACTTGGATCACAACCCGGAACAGCCGTAACTTTAAATGGACTCTGTGGAATAGGAGCATCGTTGTATGTTACATCTATGGTGTGAGGACCTATAATAACAAGAAATAAGGTTATAAGTTTCATTCTGAAATTTCACAAAATCAAATTTTCTTAGTGCATAAATAATTACTATTTCAAATAGTGCATTTCTTATTGGTATGTCAAAATGTAAGTACCTTGCGCAAATGCTGTATAGGCAACCTTGTATGTACCATCATTGTTGTTGGTAACTGGACTTTCGAATTTCTGTCCAGTTGGATCTGTAAGAATAGCTCGTACTTTACCAGCACCCACTGGTGGAACAGATTTGGCATCAACAGTGAACTCTGTAGGGGATTCCATAAAAACTCCTGTAATAAAAATACAAATATATTATAGTATGTAACCAATTATAAAGCTTAATGAAAACAAGTACAATATTATTAGTGAAATATATCGATTCTATATCTCCTTATAGACGCTGATCTTATAAAATTCCTTTACTATATTATTCACAATAAAACACATCATTATGACACTATTTCTTACTTAACTACCAGATTTCAAGAAATCTTGATAATGTCAAGTGTGTGACACAAAAGACACATTCACTCATGATGGCTATAGAGCTGTTTATCTAAATCTTATGAAGTAATAATTGGCAAGAAGAATTAAAACAACTTTCCGGGTTCCTATAACCAATCAATGGCAAACAGGTCTATTTCTGTCAAGAGTGAAGATATACTGTAGAAGATGTAACACTTGACAACTATGAGGATGATACATGTATATATTTTGTTTATAGACATATATTTTGAAGTGTGAGAGTTAATAACAAAGCGTACTATTAGTAACAAAGTTTCAGGCATATCATTCATGCCAATATTCTACAAGAAAAATAACTTTTCATTAAAAAAACCCAAAGATGGGTTGCCAGGCAACGAAACATATGCCCACAGCAGCTAAATCATCCAGGCAGTCAACAAGAGTTGTCGCATATTTTTACTTTTTTCGGTAATGAAACATTTATACTACACTAAAATCTGATTAAGAGTAACAACTCGTTAAGTAATTATCAGAACATTATTAGAATTTGTTTGGTTTTTATAAAGTTCTGCCCCATGCTAACGTTTAGTATATGAAAAATTTAATGTCATGGATTTAGCCCTTCAAGTTATTAAAAGACCTTAAATTCTGTGTATCAATCTGAAGTCAATCGTATGATAACTTTAGCCTCTAGAGCGTCACAAGATTTTTCAATGTGATCAAGGGCCATAACTTTGGCAGCCACTATCAGAAATCGCTGAAAATCAATAGGATTCTTTGTCTCATGACCTTAAACACTGTGTATAAATTTAACGTCAATCAGATATTAACTTTGACCTCTAGATCGTCCACAAGATTTTTTGAAGTGATCAAGGGCCATACCTCTGGCAGTAATTCTCGGAAATCACTGAAAATCAATAGGCTTCTTCGTCTCATGACCTTAAACACTGTGTATAAATCGGATATTAACTTTTGCCTCTAGAGCGTCTACAAGCAATTGTGGACGCTGGACCGACAGCCGGACGGAGGCGACGACAATATACGACCACATTTCAATGTGGGCGTATAAAAAGAAGACCTAATAAAAATTGATTGTGGTTTAGTTGCAATCATTCTATTGAAAGCTGTGTCAATATCCAAATCTTATAAAACAAGCCAACAGTGAGGCTGATGTCCCCCGCCGAAATCCCATAATAAATAGATGACAAATATCAATTAATTGCACATTTGTCTTTTTCAAAAGTGTTGAGCAATCAAACTGATTATCTATACTTAATCTAAACAGAAAATGTTCACGATCAAACTCAGTCAGGGTTTTTAAGTACCTGGTAGTGAAACTATACACTAATAGTAAGTGCAGGGGGACTGCACCACACAAAATTTACACAAAAACAAATACACGGACAGGACATCATACTCAGGAAAACACAAACATACAGACAATTCAAAAAAAAAAAGTGAATGGATCCCGGGTCTGTAGTGACACAGACTTCACTCAAATTTGAAAGCAATTAGGAATACAACCCAAAGAACCCATTAGGTAATGCCAGCATGAGTCATGATCTGCTATATGCTACACGAAATACGAATGTAAGCATATGTAGTAAAATTCAACTATACAAGTAACCACATCGGTGAAATATATCAAAAAGTAGTCTAAACTCTTAAATTCAATAAAGAAATGTTTAGGTATTTAATACATATAGGGTACATACTACATGTTCCATCGTCACAAAAAACAAAACTGAATACAAAGAAGCAAGTAGGAAATGTAGACTGTCTCGAGGGACAGCCGTCTGCTGACTGAGAATGACGTCATATCTTAGAAGGTGATAAAAAATCACAATAATAAGGGCGATAATCCAGATAAAATAACGTTAAAAGCTTAAAAACCATAAGTTCTAGGGACTAATCGGAATTATTAAGTTATTTAATTGTACAATATATAATAATATATTAATATAATACCCCACACAAGAAATGCAAAACAGGTATGTTGAAGAAATCGTACTATGTAAGTGTATTTATAAAGGTATAACATTAAGGGAGGTAATTCAGACAGGGTTAGGTAACTACAGAAAATCTAAAATAAAATTTAAATTGGATCATTATTATCCAGTATGTAGTCGGTTATATACTTACAAGAAATGTCAAACTTGGTATGTTGAAGTAATGGAAGTTTTGAAATTTCTTTTAAAATGCGTAATTGTGTAGCGCCTTTGGCAGTGCATTTAAAGTAAAGAGATTTTATTCGGGAGAGAAATAGTTCTTTATTGTTACATATTGTCAAAAATCGTAATGCCTGTGAATAGAAAACACTATATAGCGTGGTATTATGTTACTATAGATTGACGGGTATTTTACTACTTCAAAACCAAATTTGTCCGTTTTGTCGAAAATACCGACATTAAATTTATTGTTAATTATATTGATGTTAAGGTCAAGAACAGATGCATTTATAGAACCAGAATTTTCTTTAATATTAGTTCAGGAGGATATATTTCACTTTTATATTTGTTGAAATTTCTGTTACGTCATCAATGTATCGGAAGGTATAGTTTAGACTTTTAGCTACTTTGTAATCTGTTTTTCTTTTATGGTCTTGAAAGTTGAATTCGTATTTATATAAATGTGCGTTTGCCATAAATGGGGCGGGGTCAGTACCCATTGGCAAACCAATGGTTTGTTGCATTATCTGATCCCCAACCTCAAATATGGCATTATCAATAAGGAAATGTATGATATTCTGAAATTTTTCTTTATCAAAAACTACAGTGTCGGCATTTAGCATCTTCTGCATAAATGGCCATCAAGTTTCTGCCTTTCCCGAAAGCTCCATTAAAGGCTTTATCTACAAACCAATCTAAATTATCTTTAAGATCTGCATGTTGAAGCATAGTATACAGAGTAGAAAAGTCGAACGTTTCTATTGTGTTTGCATTAATTTTTTTATTGATTTTTTCTAAAGTGTCTACTATAGGTTTATTTTTATCAATGATAAAAAAACCTATTAATTCCAGTATAGCTACAAAGTGTTCTGCACCAAATGGCATGTTGGGTTTGGCATCATTTAAGCCCTTTGGTGATAGTCTTGGCTAATGGTTTCGTTTGGCAGATACTGGAGGATATTATATATCTGAATTTTACTGGGTTTTTATGGAATTTAGGTATAGAATAGATGTAAGGTAGTGCATCTATTTTCACATTGTCTTTAATATCATTACTCATGTTAAATGTATATTGGTTATGTAAAATATCTAGTTTAGTTAAATCCGTAATGTATTTATAAGTGTCATTATGGGTATTGGGCAAAAGTCCAACTTCAGTAAGAATATTTCCAATATAGTTTTTTTACAGATAAAGGCAATATTATTGCTGGCCTTATCAACAGGCGTTAGAACAAATCTACCTTGAAGAGAAGCAAGACATTCAACTGTGGATGTATTATTTAGGACTTCGGGTGGCGGGTGTCTTGGGTTAAGTTTTATATATTTGATTCTTTTTGACAGGAGATCAAAAACAGTGTTTTTCCATTCTCCAAAAGATTCTAATGGTGCACGAAATTTATCAGACCAAGCTACTATGCATTTCCTGATTTGAGATTTAAGATTATTATGTAACTTTTTGAAATTAGTTTTACTAGGTTGTTATCGAAATTGTGGTCCAAAGCGAAAAAGTTTTTTAAGATTTTTTTCTTCAACAATATCCAAGTTTCCTGTCAGTATATGGTCATGAAACTTGTCTTTAAAGGGAGAGTTGGTGCATTGACATGTAGTATTATCGTAATTGTTAATAAATTCTTGCACATTAAGGTTTTCAATAGTTTGATGGTAGTTAAATATTTTATTACGAATTGGGGGTAAAAATTTGTATAGATTGTAGGTGAAATTTTAGGAATAGTATCTGGTATAGATTTAATTACTGATCGGACTCTAAAGATTCTATTCAATCCAATGTCTTGTATATGTTTATCTGTAAAAAGGATTTTACATAACACGTCAGGTTTTTTCTCTCGCACTTTATGAGGCTGTATTGAATGCTTAGATGAAAATTTACTATTTATCAAATCAGTTATAACATCGTAATATTGAGGAAGAAAGCGTTCATTAAGTTGATTAGAATAGATGATATCCTGTATGAGGACACCAAGTTTCTTAGCTGTAGATTTTTTCAAAGTGTGTATAATTTGTCGGGCTAGGTTGAATACACAAGTTGCACAGGACAATTTATCGGAAGTATGGCATTGACATACAGAATACAATTCGTTCAAAATACTTTCTGGGTCTTTTTTAAATTTCGATTTTTTTATAGAACGTTTTTTATTTTGAAATTTATGATCAAGTTTTTTGTAACAATTTCTTGTAATCAAAGTGTTTTCATCACGGTTACTATAATCGATGTTTTTAAATCTATCATTGATACCATAAGGGAAAATGGTTTGTAATTTTATTATCCAAGTTTCTTCTGCTTGAGTTCTTTTTTGTGTAACTGCAGGATCAATTTTGCCATTACTGAGGTGTCCTGAACCAGGAAGTTTTTGAATTATTTGAACTCTGTATCCAAAAACCTTACATGGATTTTGTTTGAAATGTTGATATAGTAGTTTGTGTGCATTTTCAGAATTTCCTGCTCATCTGTGATTATTAAACCTTGTTTTACAAGATTTACGAGTTTCCCCAACATACTGTAATCTGCAGTAACTGCAGGTTAATAAATATACTATATTTTGCGTATAACAATTAAGATTTTGATCTGTAGAAATATGGTAGCATCTACCAGTAACCGAGCTACCAAATGTGTGGGCTTCATTGTAATCAGTACATAATTTACACTGTCTATAGTTACAAGCACCAAAAGACAGACTACAAAATTCACAATTAATATTCGAATCAATTAAATTATTAGGTAGGTTACCCGTATGGGTAAAATTTGATGTCACATTAGTCGAACAAGCATCTCAAACACACAAGATCACTACATCACTTGTTTGCCCAATCAGGGTTATATTGCAAAATGCTAAACTTTTTAAAAGAGACAGGTTTTTATCATAAATTTTAATTTGTATAAAATATATATTGTGGTATAATATAACCTGTCTTGAAAGAACCACCATCTGTTTGGCACAATATAGTCCGGTTGGAGCTGTCGTGCCATAAAACCATATTTCATTCATTCCTTTTCATTTCATTCATTATCCAAAAGCATGGACAAATGAAATTGCTTAGCTCTGCTTAGCTTTAACGGGAAATGTTAATCATTGAACTCAGTCAAGACATTCACCTTATGAACATCAAGTTTAAACATTCTATCCGAATTAAAAGCAGAGTTGATATGTTCCAAAACCTTGACCAATCAAATTGCTTATTGTTACTTAGCCTAAGCAGAAAATTCTAATCATCGAACTTAGTCAAGGTATTGATATAATTAAACTATACTCCGAGTCGCTCTCACCCAAAAAGAACTAAAGTTATCATGCTCTAAAGTCTCAACCAATCAATTGCTTATTTCTACTAAGTGGAAAATGTGCATGATCGAACTCTGTCCAGGCATTCACCTAATAGACACCCACACAAAGTTTGAACATTCTACCTCAATTAGAAGGAGAGTTATTGTGTTCCAAGGTCTCAACCAATCAAATTGCTTATCGATCTGCTTACCCTGAGCAGAAAATGCTCATTTTCAAACTTTGTCAAGGAATTTATGTAACGAAACTATACACCATGTTTTATCACTCTCACTTAATTAGAACTAAAGTTATCGTGTCCCAAAGCATCAACCAATCAAATTGCTTCTCTGCTTACCCTAAGCAGAAGATGCTCATCTTTGAACTCCAAGGCATTCACCTAATAAACACCTACACCAAGATTGAATATTCTAGCTCAATTAGGAGAGTTTTGTGTCCCGAAAAGTGTGACGGACAGACAGACAGGCCCATTTTAATAGCCCCCTGCTTTCTTTGAAAGGCAGGGGCCAATAAATGAACAAAACTACCAACAAAATATAAAGACAACATAAACAAAAGAAGATAGGTTGCCAAGCAACAAAACATAAGGCCACAGCAGCTAAATCGTCAGAGTGGTCAAATCAGATTATAATTTTCGTACTTTGAGGGTTCACAAGGTGCTACAAACTAAATAAAGGACCTTAACTCTGGAAGTAATGTACAAACATAGTTGAAATTCATTAGGCTTCTTTGTTTCACTAATTTAAATAATGCATATAAATTTCATACATATAAGGGATAACTTTCGTTGTTTCAGCATTCACAAGGTTGAACAAATTGAAACAAGGGCCATAACTCTAGATGTAATTAACGGAAATTTCTTGAATTCAATAAGCTTCTATGTTTCACTTATTTAAATAATGCATATCAATTTCATACAGATTGGATGAAGCAAGGTCATAACTCTAAGAGGTAATTAATGGAAATAGCTGATATTCGATAGGCTTTTTTGTTACACTAATTCAAATTATGCATATAAATTTCATACAGATCGGATGATAACGTTAGTCGTTAGAGCGTCCACAAGGTTCTACGAAGTGAAACAAGGGCCATAACTCTGGACATAAATTAGGGAAATTGCTGAAATACAATAGGCTTCTTCATTTCACTAATTCTTTATAATGCATATAAATTTCATACAGATCGGATGATAACTTTTGTGGTAAGAGCGTTCACAGTGTTCAACAAAGGGAAACAAGGGCCATAACTGTAGACGTAACTAATGGAAATTCAATAGGCTTCTTTGTTTCACTAATAATGCATATAAATATCATACAGATCAGATGATAACTTTTGTCGTTAGAGCATTCGCAGGGTTTGACAAAGGGAAACAAGGGTAACGGACATAATTAACGGAAATTGTTAAAATTCAATAGACTTCTTCGTTTCACTAATTTAAAGGATGCATATAAACTTCATACAGACCGTCCAATAAAGAGAAACATGGGCCATAACTCCAGACGGAATTAACAGAAATTATTGAAATCTAATAGGCTTCTTCATCTCAATAATGTAAACAACATATATCATTTTCAAAACAATCAGATGATAAATGTAAACTGTAGAGTGTTCACAAGAAATTGTGGACGACGGACGGGAGCAACGTCAACATACAACCACATTTCCATGTGAGAAACTTCCAATCAATAGAAACAGGTAACACAAACCATTTACAGACGGTTTGATGGGATCAATTTTGACTAAGTCAATATGATGCATTTGATATTCAGATAAGATGATATACAATAATTAATAGAATACAATATCAAGAGATAGATTGCCAGGCAACGAAACATACGGACACAGCAGCTAAATCGGCCGAGCGGTTGACAAAGGTTGTCGCATATTTATTCATTTGTAGGTAATTGGGGGCCTTTCCAAGACAGTTCCATACAGATCAGATCATAAATTGTGTCGTTTGAGGGTTCACAAGGTTCTACAAACTGAAACAAGGGTCTCAACTCTGGAAGCAATCTTCAGAAATTGGCTGAATAGTGGTGTTGAATATTATAATATGTACTATAAATAGAAATAGGGGATTTCGCCGGTTGTTTGGGTATAGGTTACATGCGGAGCTTCCTTCGGCTAAATGGCTTTTGTTGAACTACTTTCACTAAACTACTGTTTACTAATTGCTTCATTTCTACCCTTTATCCACGTTTTCTTGCTAGTAAAGTGTGCCAGGCTGAATTTTAACATGATACAGTATTCGAAAATGGTCAAAACCAAATTTTAAAAAATTTTGTACTTGGACACAAATTAGCATATAATTAGAAATCTACTTGTGCGACTTACGACTCAATTTGCTATCTCGAGTCACATTTAGTTCTTCATCCCTGGAGAAGTTAATATTTTTACTGACGAAACGTTGGATAAAACGATGGTTTTTTGATATTGTATTCTATTAATTATAGTATATCAACTTGTATATGACATTTCCATGTGGGCGTATAAAAAAAGAAAAAAGAAAATGAAGGATGGAAAGATCAAAATGATAAAGGGAAACAAATAAAATTGTTTTAATACAACAACATTATTAATGTTGGAAGCTGATAAGTATGATTTAACATAGAAAATATTAATGTAGGGAAGTTCTATTATCATATAATTATAGCATACAATCACTGACTGGAAAATATCTAGATAAATGTCATGCGTTCTGTCCCGTATAAAACAGAACAGACCGGTTAGTAATTTTGGTATGCTTGTGAGTTCCAGTAATCAAAATAAAAAGGTCATATTCTTTTTTTTATTAAGCCACTCCATGCAGTAATTCTTTACCATTTGGGTTAAGACCAGGGCCATAGGCTGTAACAGCTTCCATTCCTGGTGGAACAGTGGCTTGTGGAGCACCAGTCAAAGGTGCACTACCTGGTGCAAAGGCACTAGGCTCAATCTTAGCCTTAAAAGGAGATTCTGGGATGTGTTCATCAGCATAGGTAACATTGATAGTATATTCTCCTGGTATTTCTGGTAGATAGGCAACTTCACATGTTCCATCACCATTATCCTTACATTCAATCTTGGCTTCAGCAGGTCCTTCAACAGTCACACCAAGTCCTCCTGGTCCTTGGGCTTGTTTAGCATCAATTGTAAAGGTGGCTGGTTCAAGGGCTCTCCCTCCTTTAAGGCCTGGTCCATAAGCCTTCACATTTGGTTTTGGTTTCTGTCCTATACCCGGTGCTCCGGCTTTGACGCCAGGAGCTTTTTCTTTGCCCATCATGTCTTCTTGTATTGGTTTTTTTGGAGCAGCTGTAGATGGAACAGCTTCTACTGCAAAAGGTGATTTAGGAAGCTCAGCTCCAGCATATTTGACAGCAACCTTGTGAGGTCCAGGTTGATCAAACACAAGATCACAGGTATGGCCATCAACAGTAGCAACTGTGGGGAATTCCTTTTTCTGACCAGCAGGATTAGTGACTTCTACCTTGGCATCAGCTTTAGGTAGTCTGTGTACAGCTGTTGTAATGATACCAATCTGTTGTGGAACTCCAACAGGCATTTCTTATTAGAAGAAAATGAAGGATATGATATATTCTAAACTATTTATTAATGCATGTATATAGTCTAAGGAAATAAAGATCAACATGAAATTCATAAAAAACACATAACTTTATATATACAACACATATATCATTGAAATTAATCTTTAGCCTAACATTACTGGACATACTTAATTTGGACCCATACTGGAAAGACTGTTTAACATTTTGGACCAATAATTTACATGTATATCAATTCTGAAGTGAAACCAGTCCAATTTTATAAATATCTTTATAAAACCTTATCATGTCTGTAAATTATGAACTATTTTAGAATATCAAATAAGATATAACTTACTGGGTTCAAGTCCAACTACCTTGACCTTGCTAACATCAATACTCGAGGTGACCATGACCTTAATTGGACTCTGTGGTACTTCTTTATCCGCAAAGTAAACCATGACAGTGTACTGTCCAGGGATAGTTGGTTCATATTCAATTCTAAATGTGCCATCTTTATTGTCAATAGTGTTAACTGGTACATCCATACCTCGGTCATCAGTTAAACCAATAGCAACATCACCTAATCAGATAAAGCATTTCATGTTTTACACAAGTTATTATCTCAAATAAAGATAGGTTGCCAGGCATCGAAACATACGCCCACAGCAGCTATATCGTCCGGGCAGTCAACAAGAGTTGTCACATATTTTTACTTTTTTCGGTAATGAAACATTTATAATACATTAAAATCTGATTAAGAGTAACAACTCATTAAGTAATTATCAGAAAACCACTAGCATTTGTTTGTTTTTTATAAAGTTCTGCCCCATGCTAACGTTTAGTATACAAAACTTTTAACATCATGGATTTAGCTGTTCAAGTCATAAAGATTCATTGAAAATCAATATACTTGTTCGTCTTAAGACCTTAAACACTGTGTATCAATTTAAAGCCAATCGGATATTAACTTTAGCCTCTAGAGCGTTCACAAGATTGTTCAAAGTGATCAAGGGCCATAACTCTGGCAGTAATTATCAGAAATCGCTGAAAATCAATAGGCTTCTTCGTCTCATGACCTTAAACACTGTGTATAAATTTAAAGTCAATTGGATATTAACTTTAGCCTCTAGAGCCTCCACAAGATTTTTCAAAGTGATCAAGGGGCCATAACTCTGGCAGTAATTATCGGAAATTGCTGAAAATCAAAAGGCTTCTTTGTCTTATGACCTTATACACTGTGTATAAATTTAAAGTCAATCGGATATTAACTTTGACCTCTAGAGCGTCCACAAGATGTTTTGAAGTGATCAAGGGCCATAACTCTGGCAGTAATTATCGAAAATCGTTGAAAATCAATAGGCTTCTTCGTCTTATGACCTTAAACACTGTGTATAAATTTAAAGTCAATCGGATATTAACTTTGACCTCTAGAGCGTCCATAAGATTTTTTGAAGTGATCAAGGGCCATAACTCCGACAGTAATAATCGAAAATCGCTGAAAATCAATAGGCTTCTTCGTCTCATGACCTTAAATACTGTGTATAAATTCGAAGTCAATCGGATATTAACTTTAGCCTATAGAGCGTCCACAAGCAATTGTGGACGCCAGACGGCCGGGGGGTAGATTTCAATGTGGGCGTATAAAAACTGAAACTACGAAGAAGTACTGATGTGTTTCGCTACGTCAGGTCACACCCTGTCACGTCAACAATGTACACCATGAATCATTGAGTCTAGTAACATCCAATACCTATTGAACTGGAAAAACCTGTTATTTTGAACTCTTAATATAACTGGAAGTTATATTTCAAGACCAAACTTTTTGATATTAATTTTTAGTAGATGTTAGGGTCATCATAAAGGTCAAGGGTCTTTGAAAGGTTAGGTCACCACATAGAAGGTCAAAATTAAAATTTGAAATTCAAAAATCCGGCCCCTAAGAATCGTTGTCTTTTGGAGTAGGTTCAAAACCCCCCAAAAAGTTTTTGAAAATCGGAATCAAAATGGCGGCTGAATATCAATTAGAAGGTTTTGTGTAAAATCCAATATGACAGCCAAACAGTGGCAAATGTTATTGAACAAGGTCTTTAAAAGTGAAAGATAATATCTGGGGCTAACATAACCATATGTTATTTTTGGTCTATTTTAAAAATGGAGAGAACTATTTATGTTCGGGAAAAATCGGAAGGCCTCGGTAATTTCTGGAAGTTTCCGGAAGCCGTCCCCAAATTTTTTAATATGCCATTTTGAAGGCATCAATGTGTTCCTTATTCCTACCAGGGGGATCATGTGGCTAAGTGGGCAAGACGCTGGCTCGCTAGCCTTGAGGTCGGGTGTTCGATCCCTGCATTGGCCGAGAAAGTTCATCCCGATTTTCCGGCGTGGATTCCCCTTGTCAGTGATGCAGGATGGAGGGCCTGACAAGGACAGCTGTCTAGTCTTTCGGATGAGACGAAAAACCAAGGTCCCGTGTATACATTGGAATGCACGTAAAAGATCCCTTGGCAGTTGGAATTCGATATAAGAGTAGGTGATAGTGCCGCTGCCCGGGCAAAATTTCCCTCATTGCACACTGTATGGCGTATGCCCGTCTTCATTAGCCCAGTATAGGAGCAGAACAGTAGGACGTTAAACCCCATTTCATTTCATTTCATTTCATTTATTCCTACCAAGTTACAACTTGATGCCTCAATTACTAATGGAGATACGCCATCTTGAATGTTGGAAAAGTCCAAAGGAAAATTTTCGCAAATCTTTGATGCTAAAACTAATCAAATGAACTTTTGAATTTAAAAAAAAACAAGCCAACAGTGAGGCTGATGTCCCCCGCCGAAATCCCCAAATAAATAGATGACACATATTAATTAATCCGCATATCTATTTTTCTCAAAAGTATTTTTAGCAATCAAACTGATTATCAACTATACACTAAGTTTCATCACTCTCTATCAGATAGAATCAAAGTTATCTTGTCCCAAAGCATCGACCAAGGAAATTGCTTATCTCTGCTTAGCTTTAGATCGATATGTTAATCATTGAACTCAGTCAAGACAAACAGCTACATCAAGTTTAACCATTCTACCTCAATTAGAAGCAGAGTTGTTATGTTCCAAGGTCTTGACCAATCAAACTGCTTATTGCTCCTGCCTAAGCAGACAATTCTCATCATCGAACTTAGTCAAGGTATTGATGTAATGAAACTATACACCAAGTTTCATCACTTTCACATAATTAGAACTAAAGTTATTGTGTCCCAACGCATCAACCAATCAAATTGCCTATCTCTACTTACCATAAGCAGAAAATGCTCATCTTCGCACTATATCAAGGCACTGACCTCATAAACACCTACACCAAGTTTGAACATTCTAGCTCAATTAGAAGGAGAGTTATTGTGTTCCAAAGTCTCGGCCAATCAAATTGCTTATCGCTCTGCTTACCCTGAGCAGAAAATGCCCAATATCGAACTTAGTCAAGGTATTGATGTAATGAAACTATACACCACGTTTCATCACTCTCACTTAATTAGAACTAAAGTTATCATGTCCCAAAGCATCAACAAATCAAATTGCTTATCTCTACTTACCCTAGGCAGAAAATTCTCATCTTCACACTCCATCAAAGCATTGACCTAATAAACACCTACACCAAGTTTGAACATTTTAGCTCAATTAGAAGGAGAGTTATTGTGTTCAAAAGTCTCGGCCAATCAAATTGCTTATAGCTCGGCTTACCCGGAGCAGAAAATGCTCATTATCGAACTTGGTCAAGGTATTGATGTAATGAAACTATACACTAAGTTTCATCACTCTCACTTAATTAGAACTAAAGTTATCGTGTCCCAAAGCATCAATCAATCAAATTGCTTATCTCTGCTCACCCTAAGCAGAAAATGCTCATCTTCGAGTTTGAAGTTTGAACATTCTAGGTCAATTAGAAGGAGAGTTATTGTGTCCCAAAAAGTGTGACGGTCAGACAGACGGACGGACAGACAGACGAACCCATTTTAATAGTCCCCTGCTTTCTTCGGAAAAAAAAAATGACAGTCCGAGCTTGAATGGGATGCGTCAAAAGAATAGAAAGATAGGTTGCCAGGCACCGAAACATATGTCCAAAGCAGCCAAGTCGTCCGAGCAGTCAACAAGAGTTGTCACATATTTTTTCCGTTAAATTTAGCCCCTAGAGCGTCCACAAGATTTTTCAAAGTGATCAAGGGCCATAACTCTGGCAGTAATTATCGGAAATCGCTGAAAATCAATAGGCTTCTTCGTCTCATGACCTTAAACACTGTGTATAAATCTAAAGTTAATCGGATATTAACTTTAGACTCGTGAGTGTCCACAAGCAATTGTGAACACCGGAGCCACCTACAGACAGGCCGACCAACGGGGGCGGCAACAATATATGAGCACATTTCAATGTGGGCGTATAAAATTGAAAACCCAATAAAGATCCGTTGAGAAATAATCGAGATAGAGGCAATCTGAGATTAGTTTTTGTTCCATCAGTAAAATACTTCCGGTTTGTCAAAAATAACTCAATTCATATTTAATAAATAGACCCACAGACGCCAACCACATCAACGTTGGCAAAATGTTGGCACCATGCACAAAGGTCCGAAACATGTAATAAATATCTAATTTGTTTTGTTTTTTTATACATTAGTTGGCCTCCATTCCATATAGATCTGAATGGCTTGAATATGGGGGCATATCAGACATCATATACCAGTAATGCCAGGTGAACTTTGACCAAACTATTTTAAATTTATTTTTGTTTTATTCTATATGTGTCTCCCAGAATTCTGTGCACACATTGTGTACAACTTGACCAAAGATAGGTTGCCAGGCAACAAAACATACGCCCACAGCGTCTAAATCGTCCGAGCGTTCAACAAGGGTTGTCGCATATTTATTCCTTTGTAGGTAATTGGGGGCCTTTACAAGACAGTTCCATACAGATCAGATTATAATTTTTGCCGTTCGAGGGTTCACAAGGTTCTACAAATTGAAACAAGGGTCTCAACTCTGGAAGTAATCTACAGAAATTGTTGAAATTTGACAGGCTTTTTCGTTTCACAAATTTAAATGATGCATATAAATTTCATACATATCAGATGATAACTTTCATCAATCGAGCATTAACAAGGTTGAACAAAGTGAACCAAGGGCCATAACTCTAGAAATTGCTGAAATTCAATAGGATTCTTCTCTTTACTAATTTAAATTACACATGTACATTTCATACAGATCGGCAGATAACTTTTGATGTTAGAGCATTCACAAAGTTCAATAAAGTAAAACAAGAGCCATAATTCTAGAAGTAATAAACGGAAAATGCTGAAATTCAATAGGCTTCTTCGTTTCCCTAATTTAAATATTGCATATAAATTTCACGAAGATCGGATGTTAACTTTTGGCATTAGAGGGTGCACAAGGTTCAACAAAGTGAAACAAGGGCCATAACTCCAGACGTTATAAACGGAAAGTATTGAAATTAAATAGGCTTCTTCGTCTCACTAATTTAAATAATGCATATAAATTTCAGAAAGATAGGATGATAACTTTTGGGGTTAGAGCG